GGCAGTTGACTAGCACACCTGTATTCTAGAGGGAGGCCAGCGACTGAGCTTCTCCCCATACCCCACTAATATCCCCACTGTGTTCTGTAATAAGTAGTGAGAAGGCAGGAGCAAGACCCGGATCCTCCTGATAGAACGTATTCACTATCTGGGAAGGCTCTAGAAAAGACTGGAACCCCCAGTCAGGTGAGAATTGCCCTCTTGCCCCATCCTGACTCGCTTCGTTGGTGGAAATCCCAGCAACCTGATCCTGAATCCAAATTAGGTTATTCTGTGTGTGCTGGCTCCCCTCGGTTCTCCTCCTCCTCCCTCCCACCTCCTCGGAGCCCTGGAAAGGCTCAGATCTCTGAAGCTCGCTGAATGCTGGCCTGGGTCAGGCCACTGTTTTCCTGGGCCGCTGATGAAATGGGGATCAAAGCCAGTCTCAGAGGTGCAGCCTCTTGGAGGGGGCCCCTATGCTCAGCGTGTACAGTTTGTGTGGGACCCTCTTCCCAGCCCTCGTGGCCCTCGGCACCTGCTGGGACACACTCCACAGGGCTGGGCAAAGGACACAGGGCTGCGGGGCAGTGGAGACGGCCTCTCTTCCCCAGACCCTGGCCCCAGAAATGTGTGGGCTGATTTCTTTCAGCTTCTATGTGGGGGATGGGATGTCGTGCAGGTAAAGGGTGCTGTGAGCTCATCAGCAGACCTGGAGCCTGGTCTTGTTTTTTTGTCTGCTACTGTGACTTGGAATCTCATGTGTCACCAGCCCTTTGATAAGACAAAGATGCCTGGCACAGATTCCAAGATAATGACGGTGGCCTGGCTGGTTGACCAGGTTCAAAGGTCCTGAGGAACAAGTGGCCTGTGGGAAGGCTCTGAGCCACCACTGCCTGACTTAAACAGAGAGGGGTCCCTTCACCTAGCTGGCATATTGGGCTGCGCTCTTCATAAGATTTCATTTGAGAAAAAATAAAAAGACACCCCTCACAGGTTTCTATCAGTGTAGAAGATGTAGTTCAAGATCACCGGACAAGAAAATGTGATGGGGCTGTTGGAGGTGTGGGACTCCAGAGGCTGGCCCAGCTCACTTCCTCTGGCACTAACCCCAGCCCCTGAGTGGCTGCAGCCTCCAGGAGTCTGCTCCAGCCGGCCCCTCCCTGCCCCGCTGCAGGTGCCCCCCGTTGCTAACGTGCTGCTACAGTGTCTTGCCATGTCCCTGTCCTTCGCCCAGCACGCCTCTGCCCCTCCAGTTCCTCCCCACTCTTCAAGGCCCAACTTGATGTCTCTTCCCCACAAACCTCCCCTGACCCCCAACCCCAGACCTTCTCAGTCTTTGCTTGGGCTGTGTCCATCTCGGCCTGTCTGTCCTCTCTAACTGCGTTCTTCCCCCATTCTTGGTAAGGATGCTTGGGAAGGTCAATAAGGCAGAGAGTCAGCAATGCACAAGGCCTGGGTTGGAATACCTGTCCTACCACTTACCGACGTGAGGCCTGAGGGCAAGTTGTTCATCACTCTGGGCCTCGGTTTCCTCATCTGCACATTAGGAGTTGTAGTGAGGCTCAGGGTACACCTGGCCCATGTGAGAATCATTCATGTTTATCACCCTTGGCTGCCTCTTTCTTCCCTTTGCTGTGGTCCCCTCACCGCACCCAACTGCCTTATCCAAAGCTTTATTTTCTGGTTTCAGCTGCTCACTGTCAATGTCAGTCGGAAAATAGCAAACGGAAAATTCCAGAAGTAAACAGTTCATAAAGTTGTAAATTGCGCACCTGAGGAGAATGATAAAACCCCAGGCTGCCCTGCTGCATCTCACCCGGGCAGGAGTCCTCTCTTTGTCCAGTGTATCCGTGCCGCCGTGCTACCTTCCCATTAGTCACCAGGCAGTCATCTCAGTTATCAGGCCAAGTGTCACGGTATTGCAGTGCTTGTGCCTGAGTGACTCTTGTTTACTTAATACTGGCCCCAGAGCACAAGCACAGTGAAAACAAGGGGGCACCAGGGCATAAACAGGGAAGGACAGGGGGACGTGGTGCTATGTGGATGTGTGTTGAAACATATCCTCCAAGCATAAGGGGGACATGTGGGGAGTGTTATTTAAAACATCTTATCAAAGTTGAATATATTCACAGAAATTTGCATTGCAATTTTTTTTTCAAAGTGTTACATGCACCTGCCTTCAAGTTCAGGCGGCCACAAAGGGTTCATGACTAAAGGTAGCTGTCCCTATACCCACTTCCCACCACCCCCTGAAAGTATTTTCACAATTGCATGCATGTTTACTGAAGAAACTCAGAAAATGAAGAAAGCAAAAGACAATGGTGTCATACTTTCAATCCCATTTCCCTCCCTCCCACTCATCTCCTCCTTCCAGATAACCAAATTATGCTTTTTCCCCCACGTAAGTCCTCACTGTATTTCTTGCTGAGCATTATAGCTTTAATCACACTCTGCCTTCAATGAAAGGAACAAACGTAACATTTATTAAGTGAAAAGAAGCAGCAAATCCTTGACCCTTTTGCTAATCGGTGTGGCCCAGAGACCAGCAGCCCCTGAGCCATACAAAGCCAACAGCATGCAGTGTCTTTGGCCCCACCCCAGAATCCACATTTTAACAAGATTGTGGTGACTGGGATGCCCACAAAAAGCTGCTAAGACTATTGTAGATCAGAGCTACTCAAAGTTGCAATCCATGAACTGTTTGTCACAGTCCTGAACTCGGGTTTGAGCCAGAGTGTAAACAGCATGCTGCTTCCTTAATCCAGAAAGACTTGCTACAAAACACTGTCAGCTGCACTAAGCAATGTGATTGATGAGGAGGGTGATTTACATTCTGCATCGAGCTCCTTATCTTGTCAGGGACCAGGGACCAAGCAGTTCATGAACTTGGCACCTCAGCGGTCCACACTCTTCAGATCACACAGTTGGAAATGCGGGATGGGGACTGAATTTTTTTGGCTTTAAATCTTCTACTCCGTGTATCTGACCCTTTACCCAACTGTGTGTGCATGCACACATGCTCAAACACACACGTGTGCACACATTTATGGGTGCACCACATATGCATGCACGCAACACACATGTGCACATCCCAGGAGAGCCTAGCCCAGAGTTGGTAATTAGGAATCATCTCCTTCCTCTTCTGTCATCAAAAGTATTTTTCCACCAGGGTCACATGCTCATTATCAACTCTTCCTATCAGGGTCAAGCAGTGCAGGGACTTGCAGCACTTTTGAATCAAAAGAAGCAGAGCCAAAAAGAGGTTTGGAAAGAAACAAAAACTAACCTGTTTGCTCAGCTCACTCTCAAAGCAAAAAGCATTCTTGAATCCCAGGGGTCATATATATTCAGTATCTACAGATTCTGGACTAGGCTGTGCCCTGTGGTAGCAGGCAGGTGCATAACGTGCTCTCTAGTGGGAAGGGAGAGATTAGGGGAGTCTGAGCCAGTCTCATATAAGTAATATGTTGGCCTTCAGTCTGGCCTGAGTGTCCCCTTCCCAGGGAGCCCAGGGAACCCCATAGATCTAGACCCCAGGGTTCATTTTCGCTAGGATGTAGGAAAGACTAAAAGCCTTTCATGCTGCCCAACTAAGTTTAACACTTTTGACTTTCCAAGAAGAGTGCAGTGGCACACATCTGTAATCCCAGCAACTCTGGAGACTGAGACAGAGGATCACATGTTCAAGGCCAGCCTCGGCAACTTTGCAAGGCCCTAAGCAAATTAGCAAGACCCTGTCTCAAAAAAAAAAAAAAAAAAAAATCAAAAGGGGCAGGGATGTGGCTCAGTGATCAAGCACCCCTATGTTCAATCCCCAGTGCCTAAAAAATAAAAATTAAAAATTTTGAGTTTGCACACGATTCTCTGACTGGATAACCTTAAGAAGTTATCTAATCTGTCAGTTTCCTCATCTGTCAAGTGGGTATAAAGATATTGGCCTCATGAGGATCGGTGGCAATGTCTGAAAGTGCCTACCTTCAACTCACCCATTCAGTCATCATTCACCCATTACTCATGTACCTGGCATGTCTGTATTGAGCACCTTCAGGGTACCTGGTACTGGGGATAATGATGAATGCAGTTCACAGTTCTACAGAGCAGACGGAGAGAATCGAAGAATCACACCCCCCTCCAAGCGAGCTGCAGTCATGCTGCAAATAAAGGTGCAAAAAGCCCTTCCTGGGGGCACAGCTCATCTGGACATAAGGAAGGTTTCACTGAACAGGGGATTTTGAGCTCAGATCCAAAGATGGGTAGAAGTTTATGAGGCAAAGCAGGGGAAGAAGATTTCAGGAATACAGTGGAGATCACTCATCGTACGTTCCGGAATATAATTTTGACCAGACAGAAGGGGTGGTTGAACTTTACTTTTTGAGGTAAATTTTACATCTAGCACAATGTGTAAACCTTAAGGCACAACTGGGTGCATTTGGACAAATGCCCGTGCCTGTCTAACCAGTGCCCCTTTGAACATACAGAATTTTGCTGTCGGATTGGGTTTATCTTATTTTTAAGAGAGAATTTTAATATTTATTTTTTAGTTTTTGGCGGACACAACAAGTTTGTTTGTATGTGGTGCTGAGGATCGAACCCGGGCCGCACGCATGCCAGACGAGCGCGCTACCGCTTGAGCCACATCCCCAGCCCTGGGTTTATCTTAATAACTTTCCCCCTTAATTAGAAAAGTAAGGGAGCTGGGTGTTAATGAGGGACAAGGCCTTGGGCTAGGTTTAAATTCAAACCCTACTACTTTCTACCGAGGCCTCCCCTCTCCTCTGAGACTCGGTTTTTGTGACTGTATTCAAACTGCTGCATAGCGCTGGTTAAGGGGGGGATCTATAAATGGCTAAAGAACTCCGGCCAGTGCCTGGGCCCGGTAGGCACTGTGTTTGGAGCCTGTGGAAGTTTCCAGAATGCAGCTTGGTGGGGAGACAGGCTCTCTCTCACTAGCAGGTGTACGGGGGGTCGAGCTTTCCCAGGGCGTCTTCGGAGCACCCTGACACTGGTCTCTCTGTCCGCAGGGATGTGTCTGCAGGCGTTTGTAGAAGCTTTCTTTTTTCTGGCCCAGAGGAAGTTCAAGATGCTGCCGCTCCACGAACAGGTGGCCTCGCTGATCGACCTGTGCGAATACCACCTGTCCCTGCTGGACGAGAAGCGCCTGCTGTGCAGCCGGGGTGGCTCTGCGGGGAGCCGTCTCTCCCAAGGCAGCTCGCCCCAGGGCGCCTGCCCTGCAGCCCAGCCTGTGGTGGGCAACCCCCCACTCCGCACCAACGGTGCTAGTAAGTGCTCCTATCCCAGACACACTCTGTCCTGAAGGCCCTCTTGTCTGCCCAGGAGAAGCGAGTGCCCTTCAGGGCTGAAGGGAGCCCCCGGGCTCCTGCCTGTGGGGGACACAGGCCGTGGAGGATCCCATCGGAGGTTCCGGTTCGGTCCCCTGTTCTGCTGCACTCCTGCTTTGCAAGGCTGACTCTTGCCCGCCTTTCTCCCCACGCCTCTTGGAGACCCACCCTGTTTTGGAGCCATCAGTGGACATATGACATCTGAAATGTGACAGATGGCACTTTCTATTCTGGGCTCACAGGAAGCACCAACCAGGGCAAATCTGCCGTGCTTGGGGCGGGAGGGCACAGCCACTCCTGACACGGAGAGCCGCAGAGAGGAAGCTGAGACCTAGAGTGTGCGGGAGCCTCCGAGAGCCACCGGTTAAAGTCTGAGAACATCACGTTCATTTCCTACCACCCATTCTCCAAAAATGAAGTGGAGATACCAAGTAGGCCGACACGAACCTCCCGCCCCAATCATGTGCTACACGGGTGTAGTTAACAGATTAGCCTCATTTATTTCATTAGCTTGCCTGTTGCTGCAATGTTTGCTTTGTTACTAATTAAGAAATAATTACGATATAACTAAGTTAGGCTCCTAGAGCCTATGAGCCAGCAGGAGACTCACAGGCCCTTTTGTTTGAGTTTATTTGGCCTTGACCCCAAAGCAGGAATTCCATCTTTAGCCTCCCTGTCCAGATGGTCCTGTGGCCTCAGTGGACCCCTGCAAGGGTGAAGCTCTGGTCCCAAGGACAAGGGCCCCATGTACCCAACACTGTGCTGATAGTTATCAGGAAGGGTAGTGAGCTTCAGAGAAAAGACATGAGATCCAGGTAAGAACCAGGGGAAGCAGGATGTATGTGGAGGGAGGTACACTGTGAGGAACAGATTTTTCAAGGACCCCCCCCCCCCCCCTCCCCTCTTCTCCCCTTTGGACAGGACAAATGGAAAGTGAAAGGCCCCAGTAGAGTAGATAGATGTGTCAGGGCACCCTTGTCATCAGCTGGGGACTGCAAAGAGTCTTTTAAACAGAGTTCTAGCTTGACACGTCCCCAGGTGGGTCTTCAGAAAGTGCTAGCTTGCCAAAATGGGGAGCAATCTTCAAGCCTAAAACCAACCAAGTACACTGGATTGGGGTTGGGGTAGGAAACAATGAGGCTGAATTTCAGCCACCTGGTTTGGGATGACATAAAAATGTCAGCACTCATGGTGAGAGATGTCCTCTGCACCCCCACCTGCCCATCATATGCAAGCAGGTCACTGTCAGTTCTGGAGCCCCTCGTGCTGGAAGGAGTCCCCTCTTCTGTGGACAGGACCCTGGGGAAGCCCCGTGTTCTGGAGGACGTGGAATCTTGTCTGTGACTCTTAGGGAAATGAGGTTGCCATCATGAGAGCCAGCGAGGCTGGGCAGGCCCAGAGACCCCTGAGTGCAGAGCTCAGGGTCCCCTGCACGGGGCTGCAGCCCATTCTTAGAAGGGCCCTGGGGATCCTCCCCAGCTCTTCTCCCCCCGCCCTGCCTGCCCTTGGGCCCCCTCCTACTGCTGTCCATCAGCTGAGCTCCTGAAGGGCCAGGCTTCCAGGGGGTGTGGAAAGAAGGTGTAAGAAGATGGTCTCAGCCTGGACTCCTTTAGGACAGGTACATCCAAGTCTAAGTCCGTGGAGTGTCCAGGGAGGACAACGACTTCCAGAGAACAGACGGATTGGCCCAGTCCATGCCTTCCACAGGTGCCAGTCTTGCCCCTTTGGTGTCCCTGCCCAGCTTCCTCGTGTCTTGTGTGGTGACCTTGCCTGTGCCTGTCCTTCCAGCCCCCGGGGAAGTAGGCTCCATTTCCTGTATTCAGGAAAGGAGTCTTGTCCCCACTGGCCTGGCTGGAAGGAAGCCTGTAGTGGGGGCTGCAAGATGCACGGGTTCAGGGCAGTCGTTAGCAAGTGCTGGGCCCTGTGGGCAGAGCAGGGCCTCCGGGAGAGCAGAGCCGCAGGCCCCGAACAACCCTCTTTGGTTCCTCTTATTCCTCCTCATGAACTCTGTCTACTCTCCTAGCTCAACCCTCACCTCTTGCCTGGACTTCACTGGTGTCCATTCACTGCTCAGCCCCTCCCACCACCCTCCACCTCTATAGGCTAAGGGCACTGGAGAGCCACAGATGACCAAGCTGTCCCCAGGGAGGCCCTCCCTTCCTATTCACGCCTGGACACCAACCCTCCTGGCCAGGCTCTCCCAGGGCTCTTTGTATTTGTCATTGTCAGGCAGGAAGAGAATGTACCGTTTCCCACCCACGGGAAGGTGCCAGCAGGGACCTGCCCTTGTCCCCACCCTGCTGCTCCTGCTCCCTTGGCCCTCTGGACAATGGTAAATAATGGCTCCCTTCAAGGTCCAGCTCTAATACCCCACAGCAGTCCCCCATGCAGAAAGAACAGCTCCCATATCCATCTGAGACCCTAGGAAGTCCCTCTGTTACCACGCCCACCCCGGGGGCACAGAGAGAGGCCCCTGGAGGTGCTTGTTGAAATTACAGGATACCGAGCAGCCCAAGGGAGGAGGCTGCTTGCCGGTTCCTTCTCTCCATGGCCTGCAGATGCCCTCCAGGATCCTGGTTTTCTGCGCCTTGCCAAGCCAGTTTGCTGAACACCTCAACATTCCCAGCTGCCTGGTCTTCTCCCCGAGCATGGCAGCCATCCCATAAGCTCCCACCCCACCCTAGTTGACTTTTCTGGCCCTGGGAATCTCTCTGTGTGCCCCGGCTCAGATCTTGGCCCTGTCTCCCCGCCTTTCATCCCTGGAGATGGAGGATGGTGCTCACCATGGCTCCTCAGTCCAGCAGCCAGCCCGTCTCTCCCCCGACACCAACATGTTTTTCTGCGGGGTGTTTAGTTCAGAGAAGGTCATCCTGCTGGGAGTGCAGATAGTATGGGAGTGGGACCGGACAGGGCCAGGGAGGACTAGACATTTGTAACGGTGTCCTGGGCCTTTCTGGAACCGACTCCCTTTCCTGCGTGAATTAAACAACGTATGTTCAGGGCCTCTCGGTTCACAAAGTCCTTTCATATCCATCTTCTCATTTGATCCAATGACCCAGAGAAGGGTAAGGGTTATCATCACTCTCTTTTCTGATGTCCAGGAGGTCACATGGCTTGTCCAAGGTCTCCAGCCTAGTGAAGGGCGGAGCCAGGAATCATACCAAGGACCCTGGCCCCAGAGCCACGTTCTTTCCTCCACCCCATCGCGGATCTTGGCCCCATTCAGCAGATGTGGAAAGCCACGTTTCGGAGGACCTGATGTTTGCCCAGCAAATACGCAGGCGTTGTGAGGGCAAGGGGCTCTCTGACCTGCTCTTGACCTTCCGCGCCCTTCAGGAAGGCTCTGCGGGCCACACAGACCAGACAGGAAGAGCTCCAGGCCTTCAGCCACCAAACAGGGACACAATATCCTCTCTCACTTAATCTTGGGAACATTAGGTGAGATAATGGAAAGCATAATAAATGCGAGAGAGTTTTGTAAACCAAAGTGCTACTAAAATGCAATGTCACCTTCAGACTGGCTTCTGGTTTCCTACAAAGTAGAGCGGGAGGAAGGTAAAAGCTTCCCTGAATGATGTCCGAAGACAAATGAAGCCAAAGTGGTCAGCTCCTCTCCCTTCCCTCCTCCCCCTCCCTGCATCCTCACATATTTAAAGATAGTCACAGCCTGAAGCACGGTCCCTGCTGTTCCTCTGACGTCTGGGATTTTCTTTGTGATTGGCACAGTGTTAACTCCAAAATAGCTTAATTTTTTTTTTCTTACATTTCTTGACTAATGTCCTAAACCTCCTCGTCCCTGTAATTGAGACCTTCAGCGTTCAAGCACCTTTTCTCCAAGTTCAGAAGCGATGAACTCTCCCATCAGGGAGCTGGCACTCCCAGGGTCCGAGAGAGCTGTCCCGGCTCAGTGAGGGGGATTCACCACAGTGCGTTTTAACCTAAAATCCACCTCGCTGAGACTGATATTTTCTGTCAGTCTCCTATTTGGTTTGATGAATGCAAGAGAAATTTTCCCACATGGCATATATAATTTTTTTCCTTACAAAATAAGCCCATTTTTGCAGAGACAAAGGAACTCCACAGAATAGTCACCATGTTCAATTGCCTTCGTCTCTTGTAACCAACCGTCTTAAGTAACTAGAAAAACCATACAGCCTCTCTCTCTCTCTCTCTCTCTCTCTCTCTCTCTCTCTCTACACACACACACACACACACACACACACACACACACACACCATGAGTTTGGGTATAAAATGGTAAAATCACCCGTGTTACCCTCATTTCTGGCAATCTGCTCCTGAGTCTGATTTAAAGAACTCAAGAAGAAGGGCTCTGTGCAGCCCGGGGCCGCTCAGCGAGGGGCTCCTGGGAGGCACTTCCTCCCACATGAAGGGAAGTGTTTGCTGAGATTCCCACCAGGTTTCTCGTCCTGGCCCCTGGACATGGCTCCTCACTCTGACTCCCCCAGGACCCACGCAGACTTCAGGGATATTTTCCCTTCAGAACATCTTGCATCAGAAGGAAGAATCCCAGAGGAGGCCGCGAACTGTTCTAGAAGGATGGAGGGCTCTGGAGCCAGACCTGAGCCTGGGTTTTGCTCTGTTACCCTCTCCACCCCTGAATCATGGACCAGTGACTTCCCCGCCCTGACCCCTGTCCCTTGCCTGTGCAGCGGAGATCACGTCATGACGGATGCCAACAACCTGGTGGGGGACTTGGCACCTGGAAAGTGTCTGCTAAACGTCTGTTGAGAAAAGGCCTGGTCTGCATATGCTGAAGCCCAGGCATGTGGGGAACACTGCTGCTGCCCCATCAGCCCCTGCTCGGAGGAGGCTCCTGCGGGTCTGGCCAGACCCCATGGGCTCAAGCCCTCCTCCCCGGAGCCCAGCTCTGCCTCCAAGAAGCTGCTGCTCCTGCCTCTTAAAAGCCTTTAAAAATTCTTTATTAAATTTTCATGGCGCATGAAGTCAAGGTT